TAAAGACGCCTTCCGTTCCGCTTTTGTATTCCCCTGCTTAGGAACGCGCTCACATTAGCCACGGGATTAGCTTACCCCGTTCTAAACTCCAGCTCTACATTTGCTGCAACTGCGTTCCATTTTGAACGTGTAGTGCCTTTAAATTTTCCCCTTGCTGCGTTTGTTTTAGTTTTAACCCGGAATGTTGTGTTCGTTTCTGAGATTTCTGGCTCCGTATAAAATTTCTTGAAACGGCTTTGGCAAATTGCGAAAATTTTATTTCTCAGATGCTTCTGGGTGTGTCTACTTTATTGAAACTCGCACGTACTTAGAGCGCAGTTTTTGAAACCAAACCAAACAAAAAAGTGCAAAAAACCAAACCGAAACCAAATGATTTTTGCACTTTATTTCTAAATATTTTTTTCTTCAAACGTTCGGCCTTTTTCACCAATTTTCCTTGCATGTTCTTTGCTACTTGAAATAGGTACTTGCTGTGTGAATAATCTTCTTCATTTATTTCCTATTCACATAACAATACCATTAACTAGACATCAAAACTAGTCCTTACCTCATTTTCATTTGAAGCAAAGTGACGGTCTCATCAGGCTGGGTTCCGCCTAGTGCATCAACTTGCATGCGAAGAAATTCAGGGACAGATGACCTTATCCATCACGGTTTTTACGAGCCTAGGCCGCCTTTGTGCTCATATGATACGAGGCTGTCCTGCTTCTTGAATTTTGATTAATATACCACGACTTCACTTATGCTGCTTATCAAATTTCTTGTTGCAATTTTTACGCGTTGTTTGAGAAAGCATAGTACAAGTTGCAAATATTATTTGTTGACTGAAGTCGACTAATATTTGTGCATTGTTTTTGTTTGCCTAAACATTCGGTTTTATGAGGTTGAACAAATTTTTGGCTCCTCGACAACGACTTTTTTCATTCAGCCAGACATAGTTTTGATTCACGTGATCCTTTAGAAATTTGGGGTAATAAATGTATTATTTTTTTTAATAATTTCCTTTGAATGCAAATAAACAACATTGAAGCGACGATCAAAATTAAATTTACACCTGATGGAAAGTAAAGTTTTTCTTTAATTGTTCTTAAATTGGACTTATATATTACGTACTGTTCTCATCTAAACCACCATCCAAAATATTTTCAAATTTTGTGCAAATATAACACAATTGTTAGTACATTGCAGAGATACACCATAATTTGTTACTACATTTTCTTTTGGCAGGCCTCAGTGCTCTTTTTTCACTGTAGAAATGTGAGTCCTATAGCTGTGGCCTCTTTTTAGCGCATTTTCTCATATATGGAAAAAATACCCTATTACTCGTCATGTCCGTCTGTCTGTCTGTCTGTCCGTCCGTCTGTCCGTCCGTCCGTCCGTGACTTCACGTTTTCGTCGGCGAGAAAATGCGCTCTCTGTCACTCACTGCACTGAGTACTGAGTTATATTTTTTTATCCCCGAAAAAAGAGAGCAACGACAGAGCATCTCATCACTCATGTTTGCCAGGCTGTTTGCAAACAATGGCTCTGGGCGTTGGCGGTGCGTCAATCCTGAAGTTTATCTCTTTGCAAACAGCATTTCGTATAAAAATAAACACGATCCACATTTTTGTCCTCAAGATAACTGATTTTACGACCTACATTTTTTGGCTCATCAATAGATTTGAAAGTAACATCAGAACTTCCTCAGATTCGTTTTTTTAACAGTACATTAGATATACAGTACTTACTCAAAACTCCTTAATGTTGATACAAAATGTACTATCGTACTTGTGTTCCACGGATTAACGTACGCAAACTCATAAAACTACGCAGTCACACACAAATTTCTGGAAATTTGCGATCACATGACTTTGCACTGAAATCCTTGGTCCCACATTGTCTCTAAAATCTCGGTACTCAGCTTCGCCTGTGTGATGCACTTGCATTCTTCATTGACGTTGAGAACGCGTACACTGGGGACTTTATTTCAGCGTTCCAGTACTAACGTCGGTGCTAGTATCACAACGCTGACACAATAACACAATACGTAACGTAATCGTTAAAATACTGACGTTATACCATCACTGATGCACCCATCACAATGTAAACGCAAGCATCACGACGATGATGAAAGCAAGCATCACTATGCTGACGTTGTGGCGGGCCAGCTTTGGTCACGCTTTATGCGATGTGCGTTTGGTTACAGCCGCCGCACCTCTGCCACCGGGACCGAAGAGAACAAGTGCATGGCGTTGCTAGCTTTCTTTGGTTGTTGTTGTAATTGCCCATCCTGGTAGTGGCGACTAGGGAGGGGGGGTGATAGGTCAGTTTTTCCGGGCACTCGGTACCACTGGTAGTTCTACGACCATCACTGGCTCGCTGACCAGCCAGAACCATTTTATTACATTACACAACACCCTGGACAAGCCAGGTACTCATTTATCAACCAGAGTTGGATGAATGGCTGAGTTGGCCATGAGCTGAGCTTCCCGGTAGAACTTGTCCTCAGTGGGACTCGAGCCCGGGAGCTGGGTGCGAGAGACAGAGTCTCTCACCACTGCACCACCACAGCTCTGGCTTTCTTTGGTAGCCGCTGCAGGCAAATGGCAGCCATTGCCTTACTAATTTTCCTAGGGATGTCTGTGAATTTTACTAGGCCAGACTTATCCTTGATATTTTGTCCAACTATGTCCATTTATTTCATTTATCTGTGTTATGTCTCAGAATTATTCCCAAAACTTGAATATACCTTCCAGCCTCAGAGTATTCATTGAATTGTTTTAAGGGCCCACAAGCTCGTCTGGTAAGGCCCGGAAGCAGAAACCTAGCAACGATATTTTAGTAGCGTATTTGTCCCGTTACATTACAATGGTGCTACAATCATCACAACGCTGATGCATCACTATGGTTATGCATGCATCATGACGACGGAACTGCGATGTGGAGTGAGCTCTTTTGTTGCTGATGATATTCGTCACCGTTTACTGGATTTCACTCCTCCGCTATTTTGTTCATTACGAACTCTAGTCTCAAGATGATATTGCAAAGTAAAAGTATATTCCAAATGATATTCTTTGCAACAACTTTTATCCCTAATTAATAAAATACAACCCTCTTTTATTGAGCAATTGTTCTTAAATTTGCTTTAATAAAGGGTCATTAATTATTCTTGTAAAAATACCTTAGTATATAATTCACATGTTTTCATTATTATCAAATTCTCTAGATAACATTCCCAATTATGAAATTCCCAATTTCAATTAAAAAAGGGCCTTATCCGGTGTAAAGTAACAAAATATTGACTGTGCATTCCAACGTACTTACTATATATGGTTGCAAAATTCAGAAAACACTGTGAGCAAGCCAGTAAAATCACGTTTAATTGAGGGAATTTTAACCAAAGTCAATACTGAACTGCGCACATTTGAGAAATATCGCTACTTTTAGTCAGCTTATCCAGCTAACCACTCAGGAACTTTAATCGAAACAAAACCAGGATAAAATGCGCCGAAATATCATCCTCAATTCAGAAATAGGATACTCGAATACGTACAAAATTAGCAGGAAATTTTACATTTTTTGTATGTTTACCTAAAGGTCGTTTTTTGTGGTTGTGTTAAGCCAAAATATGAACTAGAATAACAGGAGAAAAATAAGTCATTATATATTCGTAGTTTTATGTTATTTGTATTTTGTTTCAAATGCTCAAGTGGTCAAATTCCAACAAGAATAATAAATCATGAAACTGATAATTTCGCAAATGAAAAAACTTTTGCGCACGGAATAATTTTTCTCATTGTGTGTTTTCAGATTCAAGATAATACACATTTTTTATATTTTTACAAAATTTATACAACAAAATACAAAATTTATGCACAACGCTCATTTTTCAAGCAACATATAGATTAATGACCAGCTAGGCTCCAACATAAAATTTACGTAGTATACGAAAACTTACAATCTAAAGCCACGGTCACGACATAAGGAGGAAATTATCTTTTCAGATTATTGAACAATATGGATCTTCTCTAAAAAACACTGAAACCTTTTGAAATCGTGAATAATTTTTTAGCACTGTAATAATTTTAAATTGTATATTACTTTCAGATGCTGAAATCGTTTAAAAGTAGGAAGATTTTTTTTTTTCAGCCGATGAAATCGTTGGAAAGAGAATATTTTTCAGCTCATCAAATAGGTTAAAATTTCGCATAATTTTTCAGAGAAAACACTTTTCCTAAAATTTTTTCTAATTTGATTTATTTTATTGGGCGCATAGAGAATTTTTCAATGGACAACCAGTTCCTGTGCCTTTTCCTATTGTGTATGCTGAATTTCACTTTGGTTAACAAGAAGTTATGGATTTTCATCAATAATTATATTGAAGAGTATAATAGAAATTATTTTAAATTGCGACTACATTCCATTTATTTTAATTTATAAAATTATTAACTTCTGAATATCACTCGTTGCAGGATAATAATAATAAATGACATATTAACAAAATTAGTGGAGGATTAATTTCAAGTTATTTTTACATCGAATGTCCAACACTTATATATAAAAACCTTTATTATAAATAATTGAACCGTCCCCGTATTTCTGGAGTCTATAAATAACTCGAATATTAATCTAAATTTCCAATTTCAGCGAGTATTTTATTCTAGTTAGCTATAAATTTTTTGGAACTGATGAATTATGCCTTTTATTTTTCAATCAACAAGTTAAATTTGGTTCACAAGAATTTATAATTGTAGGCTTGTTTCGACCTGACATTTAGTTTCAATTTTAAGACTACAATCTGGGCCCATACTTTCAAAAAAGTTAAGAGATCGTAAGTTCATCAGCCAATCATTGACGGCCTTTCAAACTAAATCTACCAATCGTAGACAAGAAAATAGAGCGTAAGTACTTACGTTCCCTTAGCGAATTTTGAAAGTATGACCCCTGGTCTTCCAGCAAATTTGCATCTGTAACTCATTTTCAGTTCTTTAAACTTAATTCATGTGTATTATTTCCAGCTCTCGCCGAGATGCGCTCGAGTTTAAGCACCATGGACGAGCCTCAGGACTCGAACAGCATCGAGTGGAAGCTGCGTACCTTCTACTGGTCCTGCATGAACATGGGGTCCTATCTTAAGAACGCCATCACCCTCCTCCGGCGTACAATCATCACAGACTTGCGTGAGTACTAACCTTCAATTTTTTTTATTATCGTATTTGGTTGATACCAATATAAATTATCAGTTCATATGAATTTTTGGATTATTTTGATCTATTGTCGTTTCGTACATCACGACCAGAAATCAATTGATTAAATTTTATAACTCTCTCGCGTTCATTCCCATTTTTTCGTTGAGCTCGAATTTTGCTCGTGTTTCAGTATCCAAATTCTCTTTAGTTTATTACTATTCTCACTTTCCCCTCTTTGTTATGTTCTTATTCGAATTTTTCTACCCTACTCGCTACGCTTAGACAGATGAATCTTTTCCCAGTGAGACGGGTCGCATTCTCGCGGCTGTCGATATGCACACCAAGCGATCGATCCCTCTCAACCAATGAACTTCTCCCCTAAACAAAAACCTTTTGGGTACGACTACGGGGAATTCAAGGCTCCTGCATGACATTTCAGTACGCCTATTGGCTTCCAATTCGACCTAAAATGTAAGAACTAATAGATTTCACCGTTGACTCGTGGATCGGACGCATTTTTTATTTGGCTTTATTAATTTGGATAACTACAAAACACCAATAAATCGATTAAAATCGATCAATGTATGATAAAAGCCGCCTCCTTGCAAAACAATTAGTTCGGTTTCATAGCCAATATTAATTTTCTAAGTAAGAATTTTTTTTAAGTTTTTTTCGATACATCGAAGCCGTTATCAATATCACGGATGAAATGTCCTCTCTCAGGTAGTTAGTTCATTTGACGCGGCTGACGATATTTTGGATGTTTCGATCCTGTAGCGGAACGGTAGACACTTTCAAGCGGGTTTTACATTGTCTCGACATTCCCCTCTTTATTTTATCTTGACTTTACCTCTCATGGCTTGGAGCTCGTTTGCTAAAAGAAGTTGCATCAAAACATCATCGCCTGCTTACGTCTGCATTTCCCTTCTGCATTGGTGTTGGCTCGCTTGACGGTCGAGGCATATTTTAGATAATAAAAATTTACAAAAAATGTTAAGGTAATCCTCAGCAGCGGTAACGCTCGTGTTCATCGTGGCCGAGCATCGAGTAAAATTTAACGCAACCATTTCACATAAATAGGGTGCGTGAGACCTCTAGACTGTCGAATGCTTCACCTCTAAATAATAGTACGGAGATGTATTATGGATACCATAATTCACCAGTGTATGTCCAGACGATTTTTACACGAAGATCTGCCCTTTTTATTATTACAACACTTCTCTTTAACTTCACTTCTTCTCTGTTTGTTTGTTTGGTTGTTTGTTTGTTTGTTTGTTTGTCTGTCTGCTACAAATCTTGTAATCCAAATTTAATGCACTTCTACTTATCCTATCGATCTGAAATTTAGCATACTTGTGTAAAGTTGGAGATAATGCATGAATCAAATTTCAAAATAAATGATTTTAAAAATAATAAAAAAATGCAATATTAAAAAAGTGAAAAAATAATTTTGTCAGCTACAAATCTTATAATATTTGACACACTTCTACTTGTCTAATTGATCTGAAATTTTGCACACTTGTGTGAAGTCAGAGGCAATGCATGAATCAATTAATAGAATAAATAATTTTGTAAAAAATTATACATTATAAAAAATTTATATATATTAAAAAATTGAAAATTTAATTTTTTTAATATTCGAAAATTTAATGAGAAATTCATTGTACACCTGTAAGATTGAAAACACTGGATTCTTTGGAAGTGTTGTCTTTGAAAAGTAATTTTTAAACGTATATTATTATTATTACAAGACTTCTCTTTAACTTCATTTCTTGCCTGTTGTTTGTCTGATTGCTACAAATCTTATATTCAATATTTAACACACTTCTACCTGTCCAATTGATCTAAAATTTGGCACTCTTGCGTAAAGTTGAAGACAATGCATGAATCAAATAACAGAATATGTAATTTTATGATTAAAAATTTTTTTTTTGTGATTTGAAAATTTGAAAAAATAATTTTTTCTTCTACAAATCTTAAAATCAATATTCAACGCACTTGTGCCTGTCCAATCAATCTGTTGCACACTTGTGCAAAGTTGAAGACAAGGCATGAATCAATTGACGGAATAAATAATTTTGAATTTTTTTCATATATTATTATTAAAAAAATCAAAAATTAATTTTTATTAATATATGGAAATAAAATTAGAAATTCATTGTAGGTATGTAACATGAGAGACACTGTATTCTTTAGAAGTGTTTTCTTTAAAAAGTAATTTTCAAACGCATAATAATATTATTATTATTACAAGACTTCTCTTTACCTTCACTTCTTGTCTGTCTGTCTGCTACAAATCTTATAATTTAAATTTAACACACTTCTACTTATCCTATCGATCTGAAATTTTACACACTTGCGTATAGTTAGAGACAATGCATGAATCGAATATCAGAATAAATAATTCTGAAGAAAAAATTTATGTATTAAAAAACTAAAAAAGAAAAATTTAATGTTCGAAAATAAAATGAGAAATTTATTGTACATCTATAACATTGGAGACACTGGATTCTTTAGAAGTGTTGTCTTTAAGCAGTAATTTTTAAACGTATATTATTAACAGAAACAAATCAATTAGATATAGTACTTTGTTTTTTCATTCAGTTTCAACCCTTGAGAGACACCCATTTTTGAATTTTCTTTGTACCCACTGCACATCCGTGGCATGACTCCTATCGGCCCGAGTCATAACGGCAGGCACACTTCTGTGGCATGCTTCACTTAATGGGTTCTTCTGTGATCTTGCAAGCCATTATCAGGGATTTCACTAAGTTCTTGACTCGCTTCGTAGCCAACTCACTGAACCCTTGCAAAAGTTTCATCTTTTAGTGATGTTCTTCGAAGGGTAGCATCGCTCAAAAAGACGGCCCGCCAAGTCCAGTAACTTGCACCTTGGTCTATATTGAATAGCTCCTTTTTTCACTTTTCCTTAATTAACTTCATTGTGGTCTCTATATAAATCGAAGAGCTTGTCATTAACAAATCCGTGTAACAGCCGACTTCCTTGCGGGGAAAATGATATTTTTTTACAGTCATGTCCTCTCCTGCGATAGTTAGTTTCCACATCCCGTCGCATTATAACATAGTGATGTCGGCGCTGAAGTGTAGGCCTGATGTGGCCTGTCGCCGATTCTTTTACTTTTCGTGCCTTGTTCACAGAAGATCTAAAATCGTGTCATTTGACCGGATCTTTTCAGGGCTGACTATAGTTTGAAATAGCTACTAGACTTCCACTGGGTTCGATATGGTGCTAGGCATTTCAAGTCTGAACATATATTTTTTCCATAGCTTTATCTAGTCTGTTCTTGAAAGCGTTCATACTTGGAGCGCCAACTATGTAATCGGGGAGGCTGTTCCACATGTCGGTCATTCGAAGCGAGAAGAAATTTTATCGCGTGTAGAAGTTGCAGCGCAGTTTTTTAGTTTATAGTCGTGGCCCCTGGTGTTGGTTCTTGTTTCGAATTCTAGTAATCCTTCGGGGGACCTTGTACAAACCATGAGTATACTTGTGTACCTCAATGAGGACCCCACGCAGACGTCGATAACTGAGGCTTGGAAGCTTCATAACCTTTAATCTTTCTTCATAGGACTTGCATTTCAAACCTGGAATTATACTTGTTGCACGTCTTTGAACAACGTTTGGAATGACAGCGACAAACAACTTCTTCATCGCTTCTGCATCTAGGAACTCGTATGAGCGTCTGGTTAGTCCAAGAAGTTTGTTGGATGTGTTAGCTCGCGTTTCTACATGCTTAGAAAATTTCAGCTCCTTGTCGACATCAACTCCGAGATATTTTTCCATACTTGACTTTTCAATCATTACACTCTCGTTGCAACCATGTCTTCTCATACTGTAATCTTGCTGTTCATTGTTCTTTCCGAGGTGAAGTACTTTGCACTTGTCAGCATTACACTGCAGCTGCCACGTATCAGCCCAGTTTACTAAACTGTCAAGATCATCGTGCAATTGCACTTTATTTGACGCATCGTTCACTGTAATATAAATTTTTGTGTCGTCGGCATACATGGAGCACACGCTGGACACTGCTTCTGGCAGATCGTTTATAAAAGCAACGAACAAAATAGGCCCAAGAACGCTTCCTTGTGGTACGCCACTGCGCACTGATGCCCAGTCTGATACGGTTCCGTTAATACTGACACGTTGACGTCTACCTACTAGAAAATCTCTGATCCATTGGAGTACGTTTCCCTCAATTTCCAAAGACTTCACTTTACGTAACAGCCGCTCATGCGGAACACTGTCAAATGATTTGGCAAAATCGAGGTACAATGCATCCACTGGCTCCCTTTCGTCCAGCAGGCAAGTCCAATCGTTCAACGTAGATAATATGTTAGTGGTGCAGGATCTACCGGCAATGAAACCATGTTGACAATCTGATAGGAGATGGTGAACAGTCAAGTAAGCGATAATACTATCCCTCACAACAGATTCCATTAGCTTACAAACAACACTTGTCAGACTTTACAAACAACACTTGTCAGACTGACAGGGCGATAATTGCCGGGGCAGCTTATGTCACCTTTTTTGAACAATGGTGTTACTTGAGCTTCTTTCCAGTAGGACGGCAAAGTTCCTTCGTTCAAGGTTTTTTGAAGGAATACTGTCAATGGGCCGGCCAGAACGGTTGCTAATTCTTTGAGCAATCTGGGATGGAAGCATTCTGGTCCACATGACTTGTTGAGATTTAGAGCTACCAGGCGCTTGAGAACCTCTTCTTCGTGTATTTCAAAGCCTGTTAACTTCGAGCCGGTTGGGCGCTCCTCAATATCTGGAATACTGTTAAAGTCCTCATCTGTGAACACACTGCTGAAGAACTGATTAAGAACGTCAGCCTTGCCCTCATCAGAGGAAATCTTTCGTTGGTCTACTTTCAAATCAGATATATCGTCCTTTGACTTACACTTCCAACTAGCGTATGAAAAGATGGCTTTCGGATTCTTTTTTGCCTTTTTAGCAATATTTTTCGAAG